CCGAGGGATGGACACGCTGGAAGCTCGGACTTGGGGGGGGGGAAGGGCAACATACATAACCTAAACATCTGTATCCCCATAATATGCTGAAATAAAAAAAAAAAAACCCCAAAAAACCAAATAGTTCTATCATTTCCCATATTCCCTTTTGCTTCTTTTGAGTCAATCCATACCCTTCCCTCACTCCTAGGAAACCAGAATCTTATTTTTAACTTAAAAATAAATACCAGTGATGACACTGACACTACTGAGGAATCCTGTGTGTGACCCTGTAATAAAAAGTCATATACCAGGGGCTGGCAAATTACGGCCCACAGGCCAAATCTGGTCTACTGCCTGGTTTTGTAAATAAAGCTTTATTTGAACACAGCCACGTCCATTCATTTACTTATTATCTATAGCTGCTTTCATGCTATAACAGCAGAGTTTAGTAGTTGCCACAGACACCTGCAAAGCCTAAAACACACAAGAAAGTTTGTTGACTCCTATTGTAGACTATCATTTTCCTTTTAGCAATGTTTCTGTTTCCTCCTCCAAAATATGCTGCCACTTCTCAAAGGACCTGTATATAGCATATTTCCAATTCTCTTTTGCTGCTACTACTCTGCTCTGATTTGATGCTAGTACTGTGGATGCTAAGTACAGAGCAACAGATTTTATGATATTCATACTCTTCACTTTTTGGACAACTCAGATGAGATGGTTAAAAGTTTGCTGAATAAATGCACTGAGATAATAAAGACAGACTATATTGTACTGAAGTTTACAATTCTATCACTCAAAATTATAATCACCCCTTCCAGGGATTGTAGCTCTAAAATTCCACTGTGAGCCCTTTGTGTTTTATACAAACAGTACTAGTTTACTATAAGTCAATTTACTAGGAGGATGCTTTCCTTAAGGCATAATATTGCTGCTTTCTGAGCACATTAGTGTTGATTTAGTGTCTTTTTTCAAAAAGATAACAAAAGTGTAAAATGTAGTTTGTGGAAATTGTAATACATGCTGGCAGAGCCTGAAGAAAACGGAAGTACCTCAGTGGTTAACGTCATTAACTTAGGGCAAGGAAGAAGAACTGATCATTACCTGGCAAGGAATCGCACCACCCCATTCTTGCTGAACAATGTTGCAAACACCAACTAATGCAGACTCCAAGCAGGTTTTGTCATAATCATCCATATTACTTAATGCTTCCTTATTGAATAAAAGATAAAATTGCTCATTATTCTTTAGTTTTAATTTGTTATTAGAAAACAACATAAACTGCTCAAAGTATGACTGTTACACAGGGGATACTGTGTATTTGAGAGCCCTAAAGCATAGGTTCTTAAAGAAAAATGGTAAAACAGACTTCTTCAACGATAAAGGATAATTAAAAGAGCTTCCCTTTATTCCGTCCTCTCATCAGGTGAGAGTGAACAGTCCACCAAGTTTACACCTTTATAAGTGGACCTTGAAGGGAAAAATTGAAATGAACTTTAAACGTATCAACAAAAATAATGACAAAATGTATTAAATACTGACTATATTCTAAACATCATTCTAGGTACTTTATGTTCATTTAATCACCACAATAACACCATAAGGTATAGATTATTAACCCTACTTTTAAATGACTAAACTAAAGTAGAGAAAGATTAAGTAACTTTCCCAGATCTCATGACCAGAGGTGGCAGAGCCTGGATTTGTACCCAGGCAATCTGACTTCGGGGCTCCTGGTCTTAAGCATTACTCATCACTCCTTATATAGCAATTCTCTAAATTTCAGAATGCTGAACACTAGAAATCCTTAGTTTATTCACTTATAAGAAAGCCAGTAAAAAAAAAAAGTCACTTAAAAACTGTGAGATAGAGTCCTAGCTCTGAGGCTCTCACGCTGAAGCCTGAGGCTCTACCTCTGTGCCGCCAGAACCCCTGCCAGGCCCGAGACATCATCTCCAAGTCTCCAGCGCTGCACCTAAACCCCAAAACCCCATCCAAGAGCCTCCACCACTGCAGCAGGACCAGAAGAACTGCTCCAAAGTCCAACACCCCACCAGGCCTCAAGTCACCAGTATAATGCAACCTGGTTTGAGCAAACACAAACAGCCTGGGAACCCATGACAACCACATCCAGCTGCTGCTGTTACCTCTGTGGGAAAACCCTGGGAAGAGCAATCCCCGCAACACCAGCCTCAGTGAAGAGGGTCTTGCTCAGCTCCCAACTCAAACATCCTACAACTATCTGCTGAACATCCAACCCAAACAGCGTTCAGCACAGGCTTGAGCAGAGGCAATCACAGTCGAACAGAACAAATCAGAACAGCTGCATTACAGCCTTCCGGCGCACACGCCCCTCCTCTGCTGCATCAACATTCCAGAGTAAGGGGGAAAGAAGAGCACCATCTAGTGACCCCCTCCTTACTCTAATCGAGCAGGAGAGTTCCAGCAAGGAAAAGGAGCCCTGCAAACCTATTAACCCTGAGTTGAGAAAATAGTTCTCTGATGAAAAGAAACCAGAAAAGAACCCTGGCAACATGAAAAATCAAAACAGATCAACACCCTCCAAGGGATCACAGTGGAGCTACAGCAGTGAACTCCAACTACAAGGAAATTGTTGAAATGACAGAAATAGAATTCAGAATATGGCTGGCAAATAAGACGAACGGAATTGAAGAAAAAGCAGAAAATCAACAACAAAAAAGCCCAAAAATATTTCAGGAAATTAATGAAAAAGCCACTAAAGAACTAGAAAAAATT